CCCCCATTTCAGTGTAGAAACATTTTTATTCAACATCCAGAGGATGATGTTTTCTGTTTTTAAACTCATTCATTTTTTTAATGTGTTGATGTTTTGAGTTCCTGTGGGTACCCACCCCCTCCAAAAAAGGAACCAACATTATGTCCGGATCAGGTTTTGTGTCTTACTGTGTGAATACACATGTGTTTACAGCGTGCTATTATTTTCACTCCAGTATAACTGCTGTTTTAAGCTGCCTGAATTCCCATCTATGATTATTTTGACATTTAAACTTGCAAATTGTGACAGCCTTCTCCTCCTCACTAGCTGTGTATTACAGTGTGTGCCACCTCTCTGATATGTATAGCTGGCGGAGCTCTGCTTGCTTCCAAAAACAGATCAATTTATTTTATGCTCAGTGATTTGGTTGGTTGCGGAGGTTGTGGAGCAATGTCGGGAATTCAACGCAAACTGTGCTGTCTAGGCAAACATGCTAATAGTGCGGCTTGAGTCCCTCATTTATACACAAAATCCAACTTACTTCAACACTGATGATGGGGCAACATCCTGCAATGTACCTGTTGGCAGTAGGCTACGTTAGGAGACAGGTTAGCTTAAGGGGAAATGGTAGAGGGCTGCTTTCATCCCTGGCATTTGCTGCCTGAGGCAAGTGCCTAATTCTACCCAATGGTAAAGGTAAAGGTACCCCTGACCATTAGGTCCAGTCGTGGACGACTCTGGGGCTGCGGCGCTCATCTCGCTCTATAGGCCGAGGGAGCTGGCGTTTTGTCCGCAGACAGCTTCCGGGTCTTGTGGCCAGCATGACTAAGCAGCTTCTGGCAAAACCAGAGGAGCGCACGGAAACACCGTTTACCTTCCCGCCAGAGCGGTACCTCTTTATCTACTTGCACTTGACGTGCTTTCGAACTGCTAGGTGGGCAGGAGCTGGGACTGAACAACAGGAGCTCACGCCATCGCGGGGATTCGAACCACCGACCTTCTGATCAGCAAGCCCTAGGCTCAGTGGTTTAGACCACAGTGCCACCCGTCTCCCTCTATTAGTGTCTATGATAGGGGTGATGAATTCCTGGCCTGCTGGTCTGATCCAGCCTGCCAAGGCTTTCTCAGTGACAAGCCAGACCTCCTCGTCCAGTTTTCCATTGTGTTGCAGCCCTGCCAGTTTTCTTTCTCATCAGATCACCCTCATTATCTGATTAGCAGGGAGGGGTGATCTTCGAACCCATCATGGCACTAGGACTGAGGGGAAAAGGAGAATTCCGTGTCTGTATGTGTGTCCTGTTTGTGCATATAGACTGTGTAATATAATGATTTGTCCAGCCCCTTGATTTATCCAGGGACATGATGAAGGATAAGCTTGTGGCAATTATACCGTAGCTGGTTTAACAACGTCATTTTAGCCCCAGGGAACAAACATCAAGATCAGCACCTTTCGGGAACAGTCACAACACGAGACCTCATCAAGCAGCTTTACAGGGAAACGATGGGCCATTTTGTTTGTGGTTAACAACTGAGAAACAGGAGATTAATTTGTAGTTTAGGGATGGAAATAGGAGGGGCTCAAATGCATGAAGCCTGCGCTGCCATTAACACCAATAAGAGAAGAAAAAGAGTGTTGTCTTTGTGGCAGCCCCCTCCCCAACCCACAAGAGTCCTGCGTGGGGAGCCTTGCCTAGAACATTAGCCAAGCAAACGTGATGGGTTTCAGCTAGCCAATGATGAAATAATACAACTCCTCCATCGTTTACCTACTGTATGGTGCATCCTTGATTGGATAAAAGTTGGTTTGTTTTAAAATGAGCTCTTCACATATTTTCAGCAATGCCTTGGCTGCAAAGATGAGTAAAGATTCTGATAGGAATTAGACCCCAACAAGGGAAGATATTTGGGATCTACAGCCACTTGAATCTGTGACAAATCCTTTTGTTGTTGTTGTTGTTTAGTCGTTTAGTCGTGTCCGACTCTTCGTGAACCCATGGACCAGAGCACGCCAGCCACTCCTGTCTTCCACTGCCTCCTGCAGTTTGGTCAAACTCATGCTGGTAGCTTCGAGAACACCGTCCAACCATTTCGTCCTCTGTCGTCCCCTTCTCCTTGTGCCCTCCATCTTTCCCAACATCAGAGTCATTTCCAGGGAGTCTTCTCTTCTCATGAGGTGGCCAAAGTATTGGAGCCTCAGCTTCACGATCTGTCCTTCCAGTGAGCACTCAGGGCTGATTTCCTTAAGAATGGAGAGGTTTCAAATCCTTTAGGTAGGCATTACTGCCTCCAGCACTTGCCAGAGGTCATGATGGACAATCCAGAGAATAAGCAACAAAGAGCTTAACCGATTTCTTTTCACATAAGGCCCCAGGCCACATTATCAGATGCAATGAAATGTTTTCTGCAGCTGTGTGTGTGTGTGTGTGTGTGTGTGTGTGTGTGTGTGTGTGTGTATGCAAACAAACACACTTGTGGATTTTGTAAGCACGCTGGGGCCAAATGACTGTGAGGTGCAGTTTGTGACTGTTCTGTCCAAGCAAAATTAAGCACTGTGATATTCACAACAACAGTAGCGCAAAACAGTTGCCCCCTGTCCGTTATTCCACTTTCTGAAAATCCTCAAGTTCTTGCATTATAAAGCTCAGTGGATTACTGTCCGTATATTCGACTGCTTTGTCTACTCCATCTTATTTTTTCCTTAATACAGTGAGCCAGAACACTTATTATCCTCTGTTAAAATAACAGCAATCTTTAGATATTTGAAATGGCAGGAAATCAGCATATTAAGATACTGTAAACAAGTTCTTAGTATATTATGCCAATCAAGTTAAAGGTCCCCACCTGCTGGGAAAGTTGAGACTCAATATGGTTTCTGCTGGTAAAAGATCTCTTGTGGTTTTGTATTACACTGTTAATGTGCGGGGTCAACGAGCATGGCGTGTTCTTTCTTTTTTGAGCCTTTTATCTGCCAATGTCCATTAAGCTTATAGGAAGCTAGATATGATCTGAGGAACTTCATGACATATGAGCCTGTTCATAATTTTCCAAAGCTTGTCCGTGATTCGAATGCACATGATTAAGAGATAACTTCTCTTCTTGAAAGGTGTTTTTAAGAATCGGAATAAACCATAATACACCTCTCTCCTTCCTTTTGAATCTTAAAAAAGTCTCAATCTAAAAAATTAAAAAAATGTCTCGATCACATTTTCGGAACAGCACACGCTGAAATTAATATATTGTTGTAAAGAGGCCTAGCCTAGGAAAACGTTGGTAATTTAAGGAGCAGATGGAGGAAAACCTGTTTCCCTTCGCCGCACTACTTCAGACTGCAGGTGGAGGAATCATGTACATGAATGCTCTTCCACTCAAATAAATCCCTGCCTGGGAAATTTAGATACCAGAGGACAGGGCACCGTACTAGGCCAGTGGCCTTCCCCACAGCAGCTACTTTTCTATATTTGTATATGTATTCAGATCATAGCTGTCAACTGTCCCTTATTTGGCAGGAAACTCCCTTATCCCAGCGCCTATCTCCCTATGTCCCGCTGCTGTCCCTTACTGATGATGCCCCTTAAATTTCCCAGGTTTCAAAGGAAGCAGCTCCTCTCCCTCCCTCCCTCCCTGCCGGCCAGGGAGGAGGGAGGCTCCAGCTGTGTTGCTTGGCTGCCCGGTCTGCCCCCCTCCGGCCTCCTCTCACCAGCCTCGGCCCCCGGGAGCCCCTCCCCGCCGGGACTGGTGGGAGCCTCGGGCCCTTCTGCCACCATCCTCCTTGCGGCTGCCAAACTGAGCATCTCTGCCTGGGGCCTCCCCTCTGCCCGCCGCTGCCGCTCCCGCTAGGCCATACTGCGGCTGCGCCGCCGAAGGACCCAGATGAGATGGGCAGCCTGGCATGGTCTATGAATTGCTGAGGAGCCTTGAGAGGAGAGCAAGGGCAACCATAGAGAAAGCAGTTCAGAGAGAGAAGGAGGAGGCGCGGGCAGGTGTTCCAAGGGCTAACCATAGAGGGGGAAAGCGGAGGAAGGACCGCAAGCGCTTCTCCCATAGATTTGCAGTGGTAGACTAGCATAGATGGTCTGATCTGTGGGTTTACTTCGGGCGCTATTCCCCCCCCTTCCTCCCGCCCCGCCTGATGGAACTCAGAGCGGCAGATGGAGCACGAGAGAAAAGATACAGAACTGCAGCAGCATCTTCGTAGCTTGGACTTCGTTTTGCGCGAAAAGTGGTTGCTGCTTGTAGTTATTTAATTGCAGTGTTTCATCAGCTGGTGTCTTGAGCAGCAACCTCTGGAACCGAAGAGCTAAAAACCGGCGCTGCTCTCCAAAATTGTCTGGTCCCTTTTAACTTCGTATTTCAGCTGGTTGACTAAAATCCCTTATTTTGGCTGCTGGTCCCTTATTTTCAAGGCTGCCGGTCCCTTATTTTCAAATCTGTAAGTTGACAGCTATGATTCAGATATGTGAGCTCACACCTGCAGTCTAAAGGGCTACCTCTCAGAAGGCGATTTACCTAGCAGTTGTTGTATAAGAACTAGGCAATATAATCACTAAGCACCTTGAGCAAACAAAACAGATAAAGCTGCTGAGCTGTGGGGTAAGGAAAAGCACCGTGCTTGGGATTTGGCAGCTATATCATCACACACACATATGCAAGCCTTTTCTGTTAAGTTCTAACCTGCCATCTTGACCTGCTTGCGACACCCTCCGCCCTGATGTTCCCTTTGGTTTTCTCGGATAAATTATGGCAACAAGAAATGCCAGCCCTGCAAACAGGAATGCTTAGAAACAGAGAAATGTGTGTGGCAATGAATGGCTGAAAAGGCTGAAAGAAAATATTTGTGCTTTAAATACTAGACCGTAGTTTTGTGGTGAAAAGACACAAACAGATTTATCAATCTACTGGGAAAATGTATTGCTTTCATTCTCTCTCACACAGCTCTTTCAATAAAGCCCTTAAGATTATTGTTAAATACCTGAAAACACGTGAGTAATATCTAGACCTTTTTATAAAAAAAACTAGCAGGGGTTGGGTTTAAAGGGCAGAGGGGGCATTTTTAATAGTTTGCTGTACTCTTTCAGGGCCAGCCCAAGACATTTTTCTGCCTGAAGCAGAGCAGAAAATGGTGCGGACACATCTCAAGAAAAGTCTGCGTGGTAGTCAAGAGCAGCCAAGTAATTTTGGACCTGAGGTAAAAAATCCCACAAGGATCGATCCCCCACCCATCATGACGGTAAGAATAAATGAATAAATTGTATCATAGCCGTTTGCCTCCCATTCATGACAAGCAAAAGCAGTGGCCCGAGGCAGCCACCTCATCCGTCTAACGATAGGGCCGGTCCTCACTTCCTTCATCCTGTCTGCTGTATCCCATCTGTGCTTCCATTGCCTCAGTTCTTCAGGGTGTGGGTGTGGTGAGGGTGTGGATATAGATTCACTGGAAAGACCTGGTTCAAAAATCACCATTCAGACATTAGACACACTTGGACCGATCACTCACTCTCTCAGCCTATTCTGCTTCACAGGATTGTTGTGAGAATAAAACATATGCACTACCCTGGGCTCTCTGTGGGCCACTGGTTTAAAAATCAGATAAAACACCATGGTTCTGAACAAAATAAATGCACCTAAATTGACTGAATGTTTGTGAGGTGAATTCAAAATAAGCCCAGTATTACGGTCATCAAATGATAAAATCTGTGTTTCTATTGAAACCAGTTTGATTTCCCTGCCTTCCTAGTTCCTTGACCTCAAATTCCCATGTCATTTTAGAAGCCAGATACAAATTAGGATGAATTGGAATCTGAGTCACTCCAGTGCCCTTAATGCAGTTCTGGTGCATTGGGCCCATGAAGATTTGGATTGTAGACAAGCGTTAAAGCTTGCATTAATACTAAACAAGGTTTAAGGCTGTATGATAGCAAATATAGACACATTATTATGGTAAAAATTCCAGAAAATAGAAGCGGGGGGAGGGGGAAATCGAAGCCTGCCTAGATAGACACTTAAACCCCCCCCCCCAAAAAAAATTGTTTATTTTGTTATTCACTAGCACCTTTCTGAAATGCCAGATTATAACCTTAACAATGTAAAAACATATTGGTTATTAGTTTATTGTTGGTTTTTATTGGAAGCTGAATGCCTTGGCTCCCAAACAAATTGGCTCCCAAATGATAGGAACCTGGAAGTGAGTGTTCCAGTTTTTGAATGATATTCGAAAGCCGAACATCCGGCGCGGCTTCCGCGGCTTCCGCTTGGCTACAGGACACTCCTGCAGGCAATTGGAAGCCATGCTTTGGTTTTCGAATGGTTCTGGGCGTTGAACGGACTCCCGGAAGGCATTCTGTTAGCAAACCAAGGTACCACTGTAATTTGAAGAAAGCCACATTGTTTTCATGTTGTTACAGCTTGAATAAAAAGCAAGGAAAAAAACGCAGGGCTTTGTAAAGCATCATGTTTTCCTACATTTAGATAATGTAGATTTAGATAATGGTAATATTGCATTTTATTTTGCTCGTCCAAACTCCAAATTGCACATCAGAAAACAAATATTTTTGAACTTTGAGATAGAGTCTTAGATGAACTTCTAATATATCAGAAGGATAGCATTCAGAAAGGCCTTGACTTTTCAAGAGAGCCTTGACTGGGCATTCTGCCATTTTAATAGAGAAATACCAAAGAGGTGAACCTTGCAACTTGCCAAATATGTCGAGACAGTTGGACACTCCTGTGAACTTCATTCCCATGTTTCCACATCTTTCTCTCTTGCTTGCTAGGCCCCATACATATTCTAGCAATTGCGCATTATATTGACTTTTGCATGATGGAATCAACCCATTTACTTTCCCACCTATTAGCAGAAGGGGGATATAACTCACCATAAATGAGTTTTGACAGGACCATTGATTTCCTGACTGAAGAAATAGGTGTACCTTTTCATTTTGTCTACCTTGTTGCCAGTGTCTGCGCTCCACTTGTCTCAGAGGATCAATAGAAGGTCTCTTCTATGGTTATGACTGGGGCTGTGGTTTGTCAATTAAATGGCACAGCACAGCAGGATTTAGGAGAACATTGCTCACGGGGAGCCATGTCTGAGAGCTAGAAACCAAGCTGTAGGAACGCTTTCCCCACTTGGTGCTCCTCTGCCGGGAACACTTGTCAGTCACGAGCAACTGAAAATAGCAGAGTGAGCTCATAGTGCAGATGCTAAAAATATAAGGGAAAAGATAGCCAACAAGTCCTCTGGGTTATGGGGTTCTAAAGCAGGCAGACGAGAAGCCACAGGGAGCAGGGAAAGTCAAACTTAGTAGTCTCAAATTTGGTTTCACATTCTGTACTTGACAGTATGAAACTCTACATTGCCAATAGCTTGGTACAAGTCATGCGGAGCAGAAAAACTTGTAGAAGCGGATTTGTTATAATTTATTATAAAAACTATAACCCATCCTTCAAATAGTGTCTCAGGGTGTGAATAATGATGATGATGACGATGATGATGATTGATGATGATGATGATAATAATAATTTATTTATACCCCACCCATCTGGCTGGGTTTCCCCAGCAAAATGATAGTACAGTAAAAGCATTTAGAAAGCATAAGCACAGAAGTTAAAAGAAATGGGGTTTGAAACCTAAAGAAGAGCAGCGTACAAACTTCATACCAATAAAACGGTTTTAAACTGAAATTATTATCATCATCATCATTATTATTAATTTTATTTATACCCTCCGCCCCCCCCACATCTGGCTGGGTTTCCTCAGCCACTCTGGGGAAGGTGTGGGAGGTAAGAACAAAAAGGAGAGTTTGTTTACTTTGTTGTAGAAGCTGTTCAGGATTGAGCTCCACATTGGAAATATATCCTAAGCCAAAGGAGTGCAGCACTGTGTGGATTTCAGTACAACAATATTAGCAAAATTTGTGCTGTGAACTTGGCAAATGCAGTTTACATGTAAAATCAAAAGCATGACTTAATGACAAGTACTGTACGTACGTTATGGATAAAAGTTTCTTGAAAATAAAGGGAAGACCAATCCTAGCATAGTTCCAGTAATTCTACTGGAAATTCTTTAAATGGTAAGATAACAGTCACAGATCTTATGTTTGACTGCCAAGAGATGGAAACTAAGAGAAAGCTTATCTATTCATAAAGAGATTTTTTTGGAGGGGAGGGGTTAAATGTGTTGCCAGGTAGACGAAGCTTTTGCCTTCTGCAAAGTGGGTGTTTTGTCATTGGTAACACAGCTGGCTTGGCGACAGATACAAAAGTTTTTTACCATCAGCGAAATGGGTGGTTTGTGACTGGTCATGTATGTATTAGGGTTAGGGCAGGCATGTCCAAAGTTTGTTTCAGAGGCCTAAACCCTAAAAAGCTCAACAACTTCAATTCTAAAACAATGTCAACAACTTTGGTTGGCCCTTTGGTCGGCCTTCGCGGCCCTTCACTTCATCAAATCTGGCCCTCTTTGAAAAAAGTTTGGACACCACTGGGTTAGGGTTAGGGTGCATCAGCAGCCATTTTGTGACATCTTTATAAATGACTTGGATGAAGGAATTGAGGAGATGCTCATCAAATTTGCAGATGACACCAAGCTGGGAGGTAGCAAATGCCGCAGAAGAGAGAATCAGAATTCAAAATTACACTAACAGATTGGAAAACTGGGCCAAACTAGCAAAATGAATTTCAGTAGGGACAGATGTAAGGTTCTGCACTTAGGCAGGAAGAACCAGATGCACAAATAAGATGGGTGACACCTGGCTTACTAGTAGTATATGTGAAAAATATGTAGGGGGTTTTAGTGGATCACATGATTCTAGGTAGCATCAACAGAGGTATAGTGTCCAGATCAAGGGAAGTAATAAAGGTAAAGGTACCCCTGCCCGTACGGGCCAGTCTTGACAGACTCTAGGGTTGTGCGCTCATCTCACTCTAGAGGCCGGGAGCCAGCACTGTCCGCAGACACTTCCGGGTCACGTGGCCAGCGTGACGAAGCTGCTCTGGCGAGCCAGCGCAGCACACGGAACGCCGTTTACCTTCCCGTTATAAAGCGCTACCTATTTATCTACTTGCACTTAAGTGTGCTTTCAAACTGCTAGGTGGGCAGGAGCTGGGACTGAACGACGGGAGCTCACCCCGCCGCAGGGATTCGAACCGCCAACCATGTGATCGGCAAGTCCTAGGCGCTGAGGTTTTACCCACAGCGCCACCCGCGTCCCTAGGGAAGTAATAGTACCACTTTATTCTGCCTTGGTCAGAATACTGTGTCTAGTTCTGGGTGCCACAATTTAAGGATATTGACAAGCTGGAACGTGTGCAGAGGAGGGCAACTAAGATGATCAAGGGTCTGGAAACCAAGCCTTACGAGGAACAACTGAAGGAGCTGAGTATGTTTAGCCTGGAAAAGAGGAGACTGAGAACAGCTATGATAGCCATCTTCAAATATCTCAAGGGTTGTCACGTGGAAGAGGGAGCAAATTTGTTTTCTCCAGCTCCGGAGGGTAGGACTCGAACCAATGGCTTCAAGTCACAAGAAAGGAGATTCCAACTAAACATCAGGAAAAAACTTTCTGACATTAAGAGCTGTTAGACAGTGGAATCCCTCTGGAGTTTGCGGAATCATCTTCCTTGGAAGTTTTTCAGCAGAGGTTAGATGGCCATTTGTCATGGATGCTTTAGCTGAGATTTCCCTTGGGGTCCCTTCCAACGCCACAATTCTAAGATTCTATAAGAGCAGCCCAGGTATAGCAGCCCAACCTTCTGTTCTCCCAGAGTCCAGCCAGACACCAAGCAGGGAGTGAAAGAAGTATGTTCCTGTCTGCCCCAAATTTGCAATGGTGACAACGTACACAATTCTCAAAATTCCAAATGAGCCCATAGGTTCAAGAGGTTGTGGAGCCCTGTTACACAGGAAGAAAGTTGTTAAGCTACAGGAATGCAATTTGCATCTTGCTAACAGGCCAACTCCCTGAAGGCAGAATCAAACAGTATCCCTGTTAAAGTTTTCTCTACACCGCAAAAAAGTTTAAAGTATAGTAATACCTGTATTATGTTCCATGGAGAACACCGTGTAAATGAACTGTTAGGAACTTGTGTGCACACTCTCTTCCTGTGTCACCTGGGCAGGGCTTTGCCTGAACATATCTTTTGGCAGAATGCATTATACTGAGTCACCACTTCTGTGGTTACTTGCTGGAAGGAATGGTCCAAAGATTATTCATGTATATTATCTTATATCTTTTTATTTGGATGTAGAAATTTGCATGGTTACCATCCGTTGAAAGTCTGCCACTGCTGTCTGCTTCAAAAAGAAAACAAGTTGTAGCCTTCCAGGTTGTATGTGAGCAATGCTCTCCATTTCTCAATACCTACAAGGGCAGGCCTATACCTCAGTCATGCAAACAAATCCAAGTTCTGCTGTCTGTGGGGAGGAAGTTGGACCTATGTTCCATTAAAGCACATACAGGCAACCCCCCTTTACACGCATTCAATATGCGCGTGACTATGTATACGTGCTTCGCCTGAAGCGAATTTTAAAAATCGCTAAAACGGCCCCCAGAAGAGGCACAAAGAAGTCAGAAAAGGCGCAAAACATCACCTAGCAATCCCATGGGCCTTTGCATTTGCAATCTCAACCAAGAGCCCTTTCACTGACCATTGAAGCCTGTGGAGAGCTGGAGTTTGAGGAAAGTTGGGGGAGAGCGAATGTGTTGGAGTTTTGGGAGGAATTTCTTTGAGATGGCACCTAAACACACAGCACTGTCATCTTCCATGGGTGATGACAAACCCAAGAGGCAGAGAATGGTGCTCACGCCGGAGGAGAAATCGGAAGTGCGGGACTGTTTGCAAGCCCATGTGCTAAACCCTGTCCCCAGTGCCCACCACACCCCCAAGAGATGAGACATGACAACAATGTATGGGTTCATAATAAGTGTAATTTTAATAAGGTTATGATTTATGTCTGTTTGTTTGTTTGTAATTTTGTGAAAATCAATTAAAAAAAATTGGGGGGAAAAACAATGTATGGGTTCAAATTAGGCCACAACTTTATTTAATTGCAGCTGTAAGAACCTTGGCTTAGGCCTTGGAAGGTTTCCCTCTCATACCCATCAGGGGCTGAGGATGTGCAGGTGTTGTGGGAGGGGACTGGAAATCGCAAACTTACCCAGCATGCCCTCCCACTTCACCTAGCCGGGAGTTTGACCTATATGCCGCTGCTTTAGGGCCAGTGACTCCCACAATAAACCCTTTAACGGGCCCTGTAAACCCCGCTGCATGGGGGTGCATCAATATGCTGCCCCCGACTATAGACTATAGAATACCGACCAAGGCCTAAAACCGCCACCCGAGACCCTAACTAGGGGTTTCGCCACCAAGATACCTACAGCTGAACATCCTCTCCTGCTGAGGACTAGACCCTGCCACCCACCAATCCCTGAGGCTCTAGTGAGTTTGTGGCCTATCTAAGCACTGCTGGGGGAGGAGTTTGGACCATAGGATGGTCGTTGCTGGACTTAGGGCATATCCCTCCAAGTCCACCTTCACAGATCTGTGCTGCTTAGGCAACTGTGCACCCCATCGCATGCCTCGTTGTCAAGGTTAGGCCCCCAGACATGGGAGGCAACAGGAGTTGTGCCCAGTGAGCGCTGCCATGCCCCCATGCCCCAGACTGCTGTGCTGGGCACACCTGCAACCAAGTGAAAGGGAAAACAGTAAATGAAAATACAAAGAGTGACCTGAACCTGGGACGAGGAGCATTGGCCCCTTATGCTGGCCCTTGTCCCACCCCCCAGCATACGTGGCATCAAGATTTGGGAGGCAGTGGCAGCAAGTATCTGTACACCTACAATTGCCAAGGTCCCCAGCTATGTGTGAGACAAGGCACATGAAGCACTGTGTCTGTGGCTAGAGGACATGAACTGCCAGCATATGCCCATCGATGGCAGCGCCTTGAGATAGGAGGCACTTCAAGGTCCCTGCAAAGGAGGTCAGCGGCAGTTGGCTGGCCCGCTTCTAACGACACTTCAATTTGAAGAACATCGAACTGTATCTGCAGACGAAGCGTGTCCTGAGCAGCTGAAGAGACAAAAGCACCCGCTGCTCATCACCATGTTCCTCAGCAAGACACCATCAACCCCATCTGACCCACAGCCAAGCACTTTGTGGTACTGGTCTAGCCCGCTTGTTGTCGTTTGCAACCTGTCCTCTAGTGATGAGGAAGACAGGGCCACCTTTCGTGTCCATCCAACATAGGGCTGTTGGTTTTTTCAAGGGTTTCCAGAGGTTAGAAGATGTTTGCAGGTTTTTCCAACAGGTGCTCCAAATACAGTGCTACCTCGGGTTACAGACGCTTCAGGTTACAGACTCCGCTAACCCAGAAATAGTACCTCGGGTTAAGAACTTTGCTTCAGGATGAGAACAGAAATCGTGCTCTGGTGGCTCGGCGGCAGCAGGAGGCCCCATTAGCTAAAGTGGTACCTCAGGTTAAGAACAGACCTTAACCTGAGGTAAAAAGGTAAAGGTAAAGGTACCCGTGCCCGTACGGGCCAGTCTTGACAGACTCTAGGGTTGTGCGCTCATCTCACTCTAGAGGCCGGGAGCCAGCGCTGTCCGCAGACACTTCCGGGTCACGTGGCCAGCGTGACGAAGCTGCTCTGGCGAGCCAGCACAGCACACGGAACGCCGTTTACCTTCCCGCTAGTAAGCGGTCCCTATTTATCTACTTGCACCCGGGGGTGCTTTCGAACTGCTAGGTTGGCAGGCGCTGGGACCGAGCGACGGGAGCGCACCCCGCCGCGGGGATTCGAACCGCCGACCTTTCGATCGGCAAGTCCTAGGCGCTGAGGCTTTTACCCACAGCGCCACCCGCGTCCCTGAGGTACCACTGTACAATAAAACTGAGCATAAAAAGTTAAGCTGCCTATTTAAAAGGTGGAATGAGTTCAATACACCTTGTAAGGTAGGATAGACTGCAACAGACCCTGTTCTGTCACCCACTTGCAGGGATTTGGGATCTGAGCAAGGCAAAAAGCACGCTACTTCATAGGTTTTCTTAGAAGGGAAACTGTAATGAACAGCAAGCCTGACCTTATGTCCCCTTTAGTCGCTGGGATCCCCTTTGCAGCAGCAGATGAGTCCTAGGCAAAGTTCAGAGACTTGCCTGGCCTGCTTTTATGCTCAGTTAGCTCAGTTGGTAGGGACGCGGGTGGCACTGTGGTCTAAACCAGAGTCTAGGGCTTGCCGATCAGAAGGTCGGCGGTTCGAATCCCCGCGACAGGGTGAGCTCCCGTTGCTCGGTCCCTGCTCCTGCCAACCTAGCAGTTCGAAAGCATGTCAAAGTGCAAGTAGATAAATAGGTACCGCTCCAGTAGGAAGGTAAACGGAGTTTCCATGCGCTGCTCTGGTTCGCCAGAAGCGGCTTAGTCATGCTGGCCACATGACCCGGAAGCTGTATGCCGGCTCCCTCGGCCAGTAAAGCGAGATGAGCGCCGCAACCCCAGAGTCATCCACAGCTGGACCTAACAGTCAGCACAGTAGCAGATTCTGGTCTCAATTCTGCCCATCACACAAAGAACAAATAATTGTTGGCATCTAGAGAGCTTTGAGGCATGGTTCTTTGGTCAGGAGCTTGTACAGGGAAGGAGGAGGGTTAGGCTTTTGCCACAAAGGCACATGGCATTTCCACGTACTAGTAACACCTTGTCATAAATCCTACACATGAAATTGCACCACTGGTCTCAAGAAACTCAACGAAACTAGACCTAAGTACAGCACATGATCAGCACTCCTTTTGCTTTGCAGGAAAATAAGGGTGCTCTATTCCAATTTAATTTTAAAAAGCAGCAGCATATATCTGCACTTGTGCAGCTGCGTCAAGGTGAGAGTGATGAAGGATTTCACAGGGAAAAACATTCATTTTTGAGTTTACATCTCAGACAAGCGCTATATGAATCTAACACAGGTACAAATTTTTGGCTCTATGGAAGAAAAGACCATTTGAACCCAGTGCTGACTTCTGAAGGGACAGTGGCTCCCAAGTCGCACACTGAAGTCTTTATCAGAAGATGGCAGGGAATGAGCCTGGGACCTTTGTCATACAATGCACATTCTCTAGAAGAACTACAGCACGTTTGCAACTTGTGCTTGACAGAGAGGTTGAAGATGCTTAAAGCAGACATTTCCAAAGTCCTCAGCTTACTGTTTTGCTAGCTACACACCATTTTAGAAGTATAAAGCACCAACACAAATTTTTAAAAGTATTTTATTGAAATATTTGTGTTCCATCAAAAAGTGTGAGACTCAAGACACACCGTAGACCACTAGAAATCTTTAAGAACTGCATGTTTTAACCAGGTTATTTGGGTTACAGAAGGGATGGCCAGCTGGCAGGCTGTGGCATAGATGCAGGATGCAGAGAAAGTATGTGTCATCCTAGATGACCGTATCATTTTTTATTCAAGGTGCAGTGAGCAGGGGATGGGGACTGTTGCCCAGAGCGTTACAGACAATATATTGTATTGCTGTTCCTTATCAAGGCAGACAAAGGACCGCTGCTGATCTGGCAGATCTTTTAGGAAGCACATTCACGTTCAGCTTCTCGAGTCAGTGACCTCACACCATGCAAGCCAATGCGCTCCATACCTGTGAAGCCATTTAGTGCAGTGTGGTGCCAGTTTGATTATAGAACTTGACTCTCCACAATGGGTTCAGGTTGCATGTTAAAATAGATTGCAAGGCTTGGGAAATAAAGTGGCCAAGCAGAATACAGTGGCTGGCCATCCCTGGCTTACAGCATCACCCTTTCGTCTGTAAGTAATTTTTGACAAACAAAAAGAACAAGTCTGAAATAAAATCAAATAGCTATATGTTTTACTACTGGAACTAAAACTTTATTTCCATGTTTATTACATTTGTCTTTAATGCAAAGTACATTTTGACTAAAACACAGTATTTAGGTGAAGAATACTTACTCGGCTAAGTAGGTTAAGAAGGAATGTAAAACTAGAGAAAATTCTGTTTACTTTTTGAATTTTGGCAAACAATAAATACATCTCAAATCTTCCAAGGTGGATTCTTTGCTATAAAAAGATTTCATATCAATTTCATAATCATTCCTCTGAGAAAAAAATAGTCATAAAAATAATTTCTTATGTTAAATACAGGTTACAAATAAATTAAACACAAAGCTTCCCAACTGCCGTTTTTAAAAACAAGTACTGCACTACAATGAAATGGGAGCTAAAGATCAGAGTCCATACGATCCTAATTGATAAAAGCAAACCCAAACACACTGCTTGCTTTTGCATGGAAGAATTAGGATATTTAAGGTTCAAGCTCTGTAAAGTTGTATCCAACACCAAACTTACTTCACGTTTCAGGTGTCAACCATCTTAACACTAAATCCTTGATGGTAAGAGCTCAGGATTTTCCAACTAGGATAGGTGAGGAAACCTAGTGTTTTACAAAGAGGGGGGAAACCACACACCTGCCCCTCCCAGAAATAATTAGAAATCAAACACCCAGGGAACGTAGGGTGCATAGAAGTATGCCTCTCCATTGCCCTCAAGTATAAAAATATCAGTCGAGAGACTTGCCAGGTTTCTTGTACCACTTATCACACAGATCTTTCCTAGGTACATTATGTGGAAGCTTAACCATGCTGACCTTTAATCAGTTTTGAACTTTTTCAGCCCAAGACAAGCTACTTCAGTTATCAGGGTAAGGACATTTCTAGGAGTGAAACTCACTGTTCAGAGTGCTAACCAAACCACTATTTCTGATAGCAATAACGTAGAAAACCTTCTAACACAAAATAGATCGGGACTGTGGAATTAAATATGTTCCATAGCAGGAATATTAAAATATGGCTTTTCAAGCATTTTTAAAAGTATATTATCTTTGTTTTCTCCATTATGTTAGAGCTCTTCTGAACCATTTCCCAGATACTTGTTTAAACCCACTTATGCGTCACCTATACAGTGATCCGAGATTTTATCCCTCACCAGAGCTAACAAACCAAAATTATATTGCTTCCTCTAGAAAGGCTGACAAATCCATGTCTTCTACCAACCTGAAGTATGGCTGTACACCTGAGAACTTGATACAGCATGCAAAGTCATTCACCAACAGACTTGTTCTTTAGTAAGAAATTCAAAGCATGTGTAGAAAGTGAATCAAGTGCAGTCATGAAAAGAGTACCTTTCGTCACCTTTAGTATTTAAAATAGTTAACCTCTGCATAGTATCCCCTATAGGGGAGGCTACCAATGTAAAAGGAGTTTGCTAGTATAATGTTTTATTAAAGTTGTTCAACAAAAAAAATAGTTAAGACGTCTATACAAGTCAACATCCAGTCTGACAAAAAGGCAAAATCAAAGACCAAAATACAAAAAGTAAAAAAGTGCACAACTAAGACCAGTATTCTGCTTTTAGGTTTGTCACAATATATGTAAAAATAAACCCCAAAGTGTAGTTACTTTAATACATCACTTCCCTACCTGTCAATATTTTAGATATAAATATATGTTCCGTAGCAGAAGGAAATCCCTTAGAAGTTCTGCTGCCAGATCTCCTTCATGCTTACTTGGAAATGAGTTGCACTGATTTCAGATTCCAATATTCTTGGAATATTGAGGTGCATTTGGCAATCTCTGTTGCAGTTAAGAAGTCCTTCCTCATTTGGCATTCCAGTTATATCGCCTACTGTCTAGCAAGTGTTTATGTGTTTATATATTCTCACAGCACCTCAGCAAGAACAGGAGGTTTCGCTGACCGGTAGCTACAATGAACAGCAAAGTCCCTTTCTCTGTGGGTTTTGAGGGAGCTATCCTGATTAAAACTTCCAAATAGTACAGTTGTCACAACAAAACTTAAGGCCATGTTTTATTTGCTGATCAATGGACACAAAGGCAATGTATTCCTCCCACCCCAAAATATTTCCTTGAAAGTCTGTGCTCATAAAAATCATGAAAAGTTGGAAAGACATTATAATTGTAACTTTTAAATATATTTTACACAATCTTGTTTGTACAAAAATACAAGGTAAATATAAACATAAAGCAATGATACTTTTATGCAGATCTGTTTTGTGGTATGTTGCTATATATATATATATATATTTATATGTATAAAAAGTCTCAGTTGTGTCTCATCAATGAGGAGCGCAATACCAGATTGAATACCAAAGGACTCCTAGAAGCACATATTTTACACTGCAAGTGTTTTCCCAACTCCATTTTTTTTCTAAAGGCTGGCAAAAATAAAGGAAAAGAAGAGAGAGGGCAGTGATGTCCATAAACCAACAAAATAATTTGGCTATAATGTGGCAAACAGAAACACACAGATCTGTACAAGAAATCATTAGCTATGCAGTACACAGTTGTTACACAAATACAAACATGGAATGAAACTTTAGTGAGATGCCTCTGTCAGTTCACTACTCTTCAGCTTGGCATTTTTTCTTACTTCATCAAACGAGTAGGACTTCGTTACTATTCCATTCCTAAACACTGTATGAAGGAGATCCTGCAAACAGACACCATTTTCTCTTAGTTTCAATAATAAAACAGTATTTGGCCTGTCAATGTCAAGGAGTCTGCTTTGGCAGATGAAGACCCTCAACTCAAGAGCGACACAGCTCATCATTCCAAACTCAGACACATATAAGCCAGGCTGGGAGGAATTTGAAGTCCCCCAGAGACAGGCAGGGAACATAGATTTTATTCTCTATATCTGTCTTTCAGACTGTTGCTTTTCTACCTTTTCTACCTACTTGTTTTTAAAGTTGGTTGATTTTATCTGTATTTTAATGAATATTTTGTAAACCACTTGGAATGCTGGTGTTGTTGTTAAGCAGTATATAAATCTGTTTGAATAAATGGAGGAAACATCTTACCTCTTTTAGCAGCTAACTGTGCCTAGGGCTTGAGAGTGGACAATTGTATGGACAATTAGCCCCTAAATGAACATTAATGTCTAACAGATTCTATTTCAAACTGGGCTCCTCAAACCTGGCAAAGTGTGCTTGCTTCAGCAGCACATAAACTCAAAACTTGGAGAAGCCACAGCTTTAACTCTGAGTTTATTAATTTACGTATCATGGTAATTATGATTTAAGTTAAAACCCATATTAAAATAGAACCATGGGCTGATTCACACACTTGTATGTCTTATCCCTTTACGGCTCTGTTAAAAACGTGAACTATTGCAACTGAAAATGATTGTCCTGGAATAGGCATTGGTTAATACTCAGGTTCTTCCTGGTGCTGATTGGTTCACACGTTCAAGTAATCACCTGATGCTACAATTAATGAACATCAACTGTATTCAGCATGCTATAAAAATTAATTAAGTCCACAAATGGGACTATGCATGACTAACTTTTGATATTACCCTACATCAAGGGTTTAAGGCATACATACCTGCCCATATTCTTCAAGGTCTCCCTTGCCTTCTTCTAGCGTAACGAAGTCTCCATCAGGAGTCCTGTGTAAAGACAACCTGCCTTTCTTTGACCTTTTGTTGGGATCAGCTACAGGATCTTTAAACACGTTTACCTAAAATTTGGAATAAAAAGATGCTATGAGTAAAAGATGAGCACATTCACACTGAAGAATAAAATCAAGGCCCTTTTTTTTTTTCTAATGTAAAATCTACATTTAAAGAACATACCCCAAGGCCGTTGGTTACCACATAACTGCATTTGAAGGAACAATTCAAGAGATCCCTAGTTATTTTCTGCAGTAAAGCTCCACCAGACCCAAATGAAATATTTTCAATGCTCCATTTATTTTGTTTCATTCCTTCCACCATCTAATAAGAAAGCAATAAAATAAAATTAAGAGGTGCACAAATAAGACATTTTTCCTATTAAGCATTTACCATGGTGTTCTTTTACAGACTAGCGTATATTATGGAAACAGGAACTTTAGACTATTTAAGGCTCAATGATACTTCGCAAACCCTCTGAAAATGTTTCATGTAGTTACAGCAAACTGCTGCCAACAAATACCGTAATATGCATAAAAGTGCAATTAATTATCTTTGGGGGAAACAACTGCACTGGTAGGTAGGCATATTTTAAACACAAAGATACTGACTTTACAGCAACATGTGAGGATAAAAACACCATTTATTTTTCCAGCTGAAAGACAAACACTTGGACTTCACTTCCTCCCTTCCGCTAAGGTTTGCTCACATGTTATTTCAGTTCAAGGTTAGATGGTGCTTTTGTATGCCAAGTGACAACTAGCAATGTTCATGCACTACAGCTGTTACTAATCTATTGAACCACAGAAACACACAAATGAGTGAGCAATTGATTTCTGTGGTTTAATGGTCCAAGAAATGCCTTTGAAAGCACAGATCAGCTCCTGCTCTATTTACACCTTCATAACTCTTTTCGCTCTCCAATTTCCCACACCCTATTTCATCTTCCTGTCTATACTGGGTACCACTATTAGAAGAGCCCCAGAGAAACATCCAGGAGAATTGCCTGACCAGGTGCGCTCTCTCCTCACCTTCCAAAGGCTCTTCTGTGCCAGATAATCTGCATCTTTGGTGGCTTCCCTCCTTAGGCTGGGGGTGGGTCGCTATCGAGTGTTATCCTGAGATTAGGCAGCTCTCAGCTGTTTCAAGACATCTTCTTTCAAGGTAGTGTCTTTCACAGCACTGGATAGCCTTCAGTCTGAATACAGCTTTCAAAGGCTAGATGCAGCCAGTTAACAGCCGGCCAGATTTCTGCTTTCAATGGGATCCCTTGGCAGGGCAGGGGTATTTTTGGCATCGCATTAGAGGCCAGATAAAACTAAGCTGTGACATACAATCCTAAATCATGGAGTTGGAAGAGACCTGAGGGTCATCTAGTCCAACCCCCTGGTATCCTGGGTGGGCTCAGGCTAGCAACCATCTAGTCAGGCACACTGACCCATTTGGGAATGATATGAACGAAAACGTGAACAAAAACAAAGTTGTTAATCATTTCCCCCCTCTGAACATCTTATTTAATTGCTGTGTCAGAGAAGACACTGAAGAAGCAATCTACATATTAATAAAAAAGGCGCACCTCTTGTAATGTGTTGATATCTACACCATCTCCTTGAATAATTCTTAAGTAAGGGGGCAACACTTTATAGCCTTTTTCATTTTCTGTAATAGGGAACTTCCTTCCTAGAATCTCCAAAACCTGCAGAAAGCCAAATTAAACAATTAAGTCCATTACTCCATTGAATAAGCCAGTTAAGTCATACCAATATGTGTGCCTTGGGTCAAAATTTTATGCTTCAAGAAGGTGAACATAAAGGAACTCAGCCACTGTATTGAGGCATACAACTCCCAAGGCTCAATCCCTGCTGGGAATATTCCTTGTCAAGAAACCCGTGTGTGGAGAACACTGAACGAGATAGACCAATGCAACGACTTGGTATAGGGAAGCCAGACTGTGATATTCTTAAAAGTAAACTAAGTTTGCGAGGTTGGATTTTTAGTACAGTTGTACCTTGTAAGTTGAACAGAATTCATTCCGGAAGTCCGTTTGACTTCAAAAACATTCGGAAACCAAGTGTGGCTTCTGATTGGATGCAGGAAGCTCCTGCAGCCAATTGGAAGCTGCATAAGCCACGTCGGAAATTCGGGTTCCAAAGAACGTTCGCAAACCGGAACACTCACTTTCGGGTTTGCTGCGTTCGAGAGCCAAAACGTTCAACTCCCAAGGCGTTTGGGATCCAAGGTACAACTGTAGAAAGCTTCCAAAAAGCAGTAGTCCTATTTACTTAGGATTAGGCCTTAACTACTCGTGTCTCTTGACTAGAAAGTTAGTTGAAAATTTGTTATAGTAAGAAGTGTTCAAGTCTTACTGTTACCTTCTGCATAGCTGCCTGCTAAAGTCACTAGCTCATCCGAAGCCTTAATTTGAGATTTACGGCTCTATTTAATTACAAAATTGTTTGTGCCTACTCAGGTCTTTCCTCAGGTCTCAGTAATGCCTTAAAATTGTACAATATTCTGCCACTGGAACCTGTGCCAATTTAAACAAACCAGATATATTTGTATTTGTTTTTGTAGATAGCAGCAGCTGAAACATTTGTCATTGTTTATCAAGCACTCCATTGTGCTGGTAAACTGAAATCATTAACTTTTATTGGCAACGCAGCGGCACTATACAGTGTTGTTTTAAATTTCTGAAAGCCAAAGCTGGAATCCCCAAATTTCAGAAACTAGTCTGGAAGTCACCATTCTAAACTATTATCCTGGAAATAGTGATGTCACCCCCACCCCAAAATGCTGTTGTAATTATAATTGAGATGTGTCCTATGCAAAAGAACAAACTGATAGCTTAGAACTACTTCACTTAAATAATATGCTATCCTGCTACCATCCATGACGGTTCAGAAAGGAAGGGTTAGGACAATCAATTTACAGGCAGCTATATGTAAGAATGAAAAGACTCAGTGGTGCAACCTACTAGTCAAAACATATGTATTGCAAACAGTTTAGTTTTATGGGATTTTGATTTTATGGGGTTATGAATGTCTTTTTAAAAAATTGCATAGCTAACAAAGAGAAAAAAATAAAAGGATTAAACAAATATAATACATACATATCATCAAGGATACACTAATAAATCAAAACAATATATATTATTATAACATGTTCAAATAGTTATCCACACAAAACTGGTGTCTATATGAAATATGGCCAGGGCAGTGAGGTCCTCTGTTCACTACATGACACACCAGTATTATCTTTACGTGCTCTTAGCAACGTAGCTTGTGAAATCCACTTTCTGCACAGCCAAGTGCAAAGCCACATGCCGATTAGGTCACTGGTTCCCATGCATGGCCTGAATTATCTTGCATTGGTGGCCTCATTCCTATGTCATGATCTATATGACTTATTGGGACCATGCAAATATGCTTGCACTCACTGCGCTCCTCCAGAGTCCTTTTCTTTTTAGCCCTTTTAGCACAGAAAAGGCTTGAGCTATCATTACAGGCTGTGGTTAAGGAAGAAAAGCCCTTAACCAAGAAAAGCCTAATCTTGACTTGGCCACTACACTGTGCTAAAAGCACTGGGAAGGAACAAAGGCAGGCATAGGCAAACACAGCCCTCCAGATGTTTTGAGACTACAACTCCCATCATCTCTGACCAATGGTCCTGTTAGCTAGGGATGATGGGAGTTGTAGTCCCAAAACATCTGGAGTGCCGAGTTTACCTATGCCTGAACAAAGGGGTTGCCAGCTTCTCTCTGGAAGCCAACGTAGTATGCATGGTCCCAAGCATAATTTTGCTTGCCATAATGTGTGAACCAGGTCACTTTATGAATTTCAGGTTAACTATATGAGATGTTTAGGTCTTTCTATAGAAACTTAATATATGCCAGACACCAGTTTAATAAACGTCAGCATAGCTCATAAATATATTTAGATACAGAAACTGAACAGATCCAACAAAAATTATCTGTAGGCATAGCTAGTGAAGTCCAGATAGAAATTTCTAAGTAATTTTAGATAAACGATTTTGTCAATCATACAGTTTTGTAACAGAGTAGAAATGGCATTAGACTAAAAGAAAAGGTCTTTCCCAAATAACTTCATTAAGTAAGTTTAAAAACTGAAGATTTTTAAAAGAATTACCTTTAGCACAGTGTCAAGAGGATTCCCTGAATCTGGCCTAATAATCAGTGGCGCTTCTGCACTTCTTGATTCAATTAAATGTCTTAAATCTTCACCCCATATCTTTTCACAAGCATTGTAAATGTCGTAACTGTCACTGACCACAGATACAGGCACTGAAGAAAATTGTGTCACAATGTGTTCAAAAGCATCTTTTTCGTGGTCTTTCCCCCAAGCTGTTATAGTACTGGAAGAACAGAAGAGATTTAGTCATTTGATATTTCGTTGCCACGCTATGTTTTCCTTTTAGCATGCGGCAGACAACTCTAATCTATGCTAATACAAATGCAACCATTCCTTATCTTCACACTACTTTTTAACCAACCGATAGTACAGGTTTCAATCAGTGATGCTTTCTGGAGCACTACAAAGTTTATTCATGTTCTGCTTTCATTCATGTGGAACAATTTTTGCTGCCTAATTAAGCCCAATATCTTAACTGCTTCTTAGAAGTTCTTGGTTATTCCCAGGTTTGGCGGGCAGGTATCAAGATAGCAGTAATAATGCTCACCCTGATCAACTGTATGCACACAAGCGAACATGGGGTACCAGCAGAATGTCAGACTACAGTCGTACCTCGGCAGTCAAACAGAATCTGTTCTGTAAGTCCGTTTGACTTCTGAAACGCCTGGAAACCAAGGTGTAGCTTCCAATTGTGCAGGCGCATCAGAAACATTAGCGGAAGCTGCACCGAATGTTTGGCTTCCCCCCAAAAAGTTCAAAAACCAGAACACTCACTTCTGGTTTTCAATCGTTCAGGAGCTGTAACGTTCAACTCCCCCAAGGCGTTCGGGAGCCGAGGTATGACTGTAATTGCTGGGAGATTAAATCTGCACTTAATCCCAAGGGTGTAATCAGATTTCTCAGGAAGTAAGATCTTATGTATACTAAAGAACCATCTTATACAAAAACAGTTCCAAGGTCTACCAAGTATCTCTTAGACAGTTGAGTAGCAAAGAAAGTACCCAAATCATTAACATTTTAAAGACAGTGTAAGTAAGAAACAGAATATAAAAATCAAACTATATTCTTGCCAAAAGGTAATAAGGACTGTGTGTAGTAGAAAGGCACTGGAATTTACCACTGACTTCAGCAGCTCACATCAGCATGATTTTTAGGACAGTTATGTACCTGATCATACTGAGTTATCAACTTTATGGTACATTATTCCCCACGCTGCATTTCACCCATACACATTGAACAAAAGTGCAAGTATCAAATATTTAGGCACCCTGGTTTTTTCCAGCGCGACTTTTCTTTGAACGTTGCATACAAGTTATTCAATCTGTTCATACTGACCTATGAAACATGGTTATTAATGGGTTAAGGAGCACTTAGAATTGGGGGAGGGGGACTGGGTTAAGCAGCACTGACTCATTTTGCTGTGCTATACATACTCAAACTTTCTGCTCTGGAACACTCCAAAAACCCAAGCTTTTTATATTGTAGTGGAAGCATTTGACAGCGATGGAAAAATTGGACATGCTGACAAAAGAGGTACTCAGTTTCTCATTAACTAAATATCAAGCTTGCCAATTATGACACATTAAATAATTATTCTAATAGTTATTGCTCAGATCACAAAAATATGGCAAGAACAAGCTGTAAAAACATGTTACATATTAAAGTTGCTGAATCAAACTTCTATCTTCCTGGGACCTGGTAACTAACTATTCAGGCAAGAATTTACTGACTAATTAAATAATGTAAAATCAGAGTCAAAAAGAAAATTGAATGCTACTACATTTGAACATATAAAACAAGCAGAATCAACAGCTATAATTGCTTGTCTGTAATTATCAACTTGTTAATGAACTGTTTAATAATTTGAGTTCAAGGTATGTGCTTCCTTTTTTTAAAAAAAAACAGGACACGTGGTCCTCAAAGATGCTGGAGGACCAGACCTTCAGCTAATCTGCACTTGATTTCCACATACAGTGCATCAAAGAAATAGATACCTGTGTTCTGCAGCTGGTACTGAATGGCCTGGCACAGGGTCTTTCGTTCCATAGTACTTCTTAATTAAACAAATTCCCGCTACTGTGTCAGTTCCTTTAAAGTTCACTAAATGTGCAGAGGCTCCTATTCCTGCAGTCTGAGAATAAGACACAATTATGAATTACAGGCATGCAAAACCAAAATAGCAATCACTAGAAGATTCCATTTCAGAGCAGAGTAACTCCACATTAATAAGTACTCTCTCTTCATTTGGTCTTAATATCTGCAGGACAATGTAAATAAGATATGAAGTGCCACACTTATTGACTATTACTGAAGAATTTAAGGCTGCAAGAAGAAATACACATTATACAGTGTAAGTTTATGGATTCCAATTTTAGAAAGAAAAAAAGATAATATGTAATTTCAATACATTTTTTAAAATAGCATTACCTCTTGCGAAGAGACTCCTCTGTAACCGAAATCATGTAGTTTGTACTCCAGACCTTCTAAACTGCCTGAGGTTTCTAGCAGATATTTTGCTAAGATTTTCTTTTGTTCTCTGGAGTTTGTGGCCACTGTGATGGGATACCATGACTGAACAAGAATAGTCTATAAAGATGAAAAATGTTTCATGCGTAAGTGTGAAGATACCCACTCCTAGATACAATAGGGAAAATGAACCTTTCCACTAAATGGAAACTACAATACAGAATCAAATTAGATATGGCAGGTAGTTTTCATATATGCACAAAGGTAATTCAGGTTTCTATTGGCGCTTTCCAAGTTTGAAAATTCTCTTGAAGTATTAAAGGTTTTCAAACCCATACAAATACATTTAAGAAGTAATTACAGAAATACAAATATTTCATCTGTGGAGAAATAAGCACGACTGGGCTTAATTTTCACTGAGTTTGGGAGGGGGAAAGGATGGCATAAGATGGTGGTTGTGATAGGAGCCTAGTAAGTCATGGAAAACTCAAGACTCTATTTCTACAATGTGCTTTATGTGGAGCTCACCCTTGTATCTGGTCTGGAAGTTGCAGCTACTGGCAACTCCACTTCAAATGCTGAGGTCTTCTGGTGGGGCATTTTTGGTGCTCCCCATGACCCTGAGGTTCATCTGGCCTTTATAAGGAACTGGCCTTTAGCGTGGCATGTCCTGCCCTGTGAAACTCCTTGCCAATACAGGTTCAGCAGGAATCACCCCTGCATGCTTTCAGACATCTTCTGAAAACTTTTATTTATACAGGCCTTCCAAACCTGATTTTCTTTGCCAACCAGCTTTTACAGATGTGCTTGATATAGTTTTAGCATAAGTGTGCTTTAGCATAAAGAGATGGGGGGGAAATAGTGACACTCTTAAAGAACCAGTTGCCCTTTGGGGACAGAAGGGAGAGGTGGAACCATGCACACAGCTTGACAAGAGGCCTCTCTTCTGCATAAAAGATGCCTTGGCACCACTTTATACCAAACAGGGCACACATGGCTTCAATCTTAAAACTCATAACCCTAGGAAACTTGATTAATCAGCTTGTGGGCCAATCAGTAAGAAATACAAGCCGCCTTACATACATCTGGGAAAAAGAGACCCATGCAAAGGAATAAGCCAATGCCTTTTGAGTGTAGTCTAAAAGCACATGGAACGCAGTACAATTAGCACAAGTTGTATTTAATTATGTGTTTCCTCATATCAAAGGGCAGACTGACGTCTTTAAACGATAGATTCAAATATATGATCAGGGCATGTTGAAAATATAGCAAATTAGCTAGAAAGTTATCATCAATCACAGAGATATTTTGTCATTAATTACCTCGATCCAGTTTGTGAGCCAGTAACAGTCTGGATCGGTGTTTTCAACAGTGAAGAGCACATTCCCCCTGGGAACGACACTGCCCTCAGGAACAGCCTTGACTTCTATGGGAAGACAACCTTCGTACTTCTGTAAACAGATACAATAATTATTAGGAAAGGGGGTTGAAGACTTTTTCATTGGGTGAAAAATAGGTTTTGTATCCATGAGTATTTTTTTATTTGACAGTATATTCCTTTAAATGGGGGTTAATCAAAGTACAAAGCTACACAACTTCCAAATTTGATTCAAAAAACACTACTTTTTCTTTTTTCAGTTACAATGCTTATAATTGATTTAACTTAAATTTAGCAAAGCTTAGCTCACATGCAGAACTTGTGCATGAGTCACAGTGCCTCTTTAAAAGCAAGTGATTTCACAAGGGAATTTAAGGCTGTACCTTCAAACTGTGGGGTAAGCTTCCTTAGAAGGGCACCGACAAATTGCTGGTGCATCAACATGTTGCCCAGTTTCAACTCACCTCTGAATTTAAATTAATATAATATTGTAAAAAACAACTGGTTTTTCTATACTATCAGTCAAAAGGAATAGAACAAGATTATAATGCTCTTTCCAAATGTGTCGTTTTCAATTCTATATGGATTCCTCCCCCCCAAAAAAAACCCCCAAGCCCAATTCCCACATATTTTTGTGTGCAGTACCAACTCCCAGTAAAGGATAGGCATTGCTTTGCTCTATGAACTATTAAAAAACCCAAAACCCACAAAAACCAATACCAACAACGTACTGCATTTTTCGCTCTATAGGACGCACTTTTTCCCTCCTAAAAAGCAAGGGAAAATTTGTGTGCGCCCTATGGAGCGAATGCAGGAGGGGAGGCAGGCGGGAAAAGCCCCCAAGAGCCGCACACAAGCTCCGTCGCTCTTGCGGGCTTTTCCCCAGGAGGGGGAAGGGACTGACTGGCCGCATCAGTCCCTTCTCCCACCTCGGAGAAAAGCCCACAGGAGCCACGCACCCTTTAAAGAGCGTGCGGCTTCTATGGGCTTTTGTGAGAGGTGAGGGAATTCCCCCACCTCCCAGAAAAGCCAGGAGAAGCCGCGCGCTCTTTAAAGGGGTTGCGAGGCTTCTGCAGGCTTTTGCGAGAGGTGAGGGAATCCCCCCACCTCCCAGAAAAGCCAGGAGAAGCCGTGCAGCCCTTTTAAAGAGCGTGCTGCTTCTGCCGGTTTTGCGGGAGGTGGGGAAGAAGGTCTGGGGAAAGCGCCCGGGCTGCCTGCAGCCTGTCTGCTGTTCCCAGAGCTGGGGGGGGGTCATATTTTTTTCCTTGATTTCCCCCTCTGAAAACTAGGTGCGCCCTATGGAGCGAAAAATATGGTAGCTATGCTATTCCTATCAAACTGAAGAAGCTAAGCATCTGTCAGCAGATAATATTAGGCAGTTTAGTGTGTTTGTGTCTTCGCATTTTTACCTCAAGGATGTAGTTCCACCCAGTTTCGTTGAAGACATCATCCTGAAAATGTTCCCTGTATACCTCTTTGGCTTCCTGGATTTTCTCTTTGGTTACCACTTTGCCTATGGTGAAAATTTTTTAAAGATTTATAACAATTTCAAAAAAAATACTGAATCATAAGAATATGTTGTAAAAGTTGGTTGGGCATTGCCATTTATTGTTTTATGGAAGTCCTGAAGGGAAACAAACTAGCCAAACTATGCAAAAATTGTGATTTCTTGGCCACGGCTAGTGCCGTTCTCTCCAGGACCGTACAGGCTTGCGTTCCTATACCACTTACCTGAATGCAACCCTATTAAATCAATGGAGCAGGTCTGAGTAGACATGCAAAGGGTTGCATTGTTGGGCTGCTGCTGGGAGAAGACCTGATGAAATTGGTAGGATATATGTCCAAGTAAACGTGCCACAGATTGGGCTGGGTGCATCCAGATTGTAAACACTACTTACTCAACAACAGATTCCATTGCTTAAAGTGCAATTTAATTTCAAATGAATGATTTACAATTAGGGCATAGAGTAAATCAAATAGCCAGTTAATGTACCAGCAAAAATAGCATGCTTATCTCGACCCATTGGCTGTAATCAGATGAGCCTGACAGCGATTTCATGTACTCGAATGAAAGTTGCAGTTGTCACATAGTAAATCTTAGATTACCATTCCAATCCATGGCAAACAGAAAGCTTTTCCTTCAGATTGGGTCTCTGGACACTATGCTGATCAATATAAATCAAGAAAATGACAACCTGGTTGCATGCCAATGACAAAATGATGACCCTAACCCAGGTTATAGAGATATATATTATCATCGCTGTACTTGCAGAAGCTGATATGATAAACCAGACAGCTCCACATGTAAATAAAAAAATAAATAATAATAATTTATTTATACCCCATCCATCTGGCTTGGTTTCCCCAGCCACTCTGGGCGACTTCCAGCAGTATATTAAAAACACAGTAAAAGATCAAACATTAAAAACTTCCCTAAACAGGGCTGCCTTCAGATGTCTTCTAAAAGTCAGATAGTTGTTTATTTCTTTGACATCTGGTGGGAGGGCATTTCACAGGGCGGGTGCCACTACCGAGAAGGCCTTCTGCCTGGTTCCCTGTAACTTCACTTCTCGCAGTGAGGGAACCGCCAGAAGGCCCTCAGAGCTTGACCTCAGTGACCGGGCAGAACGATGGGGGTGGAGACGCTTCTTCAGGTATACTGGGCTGAGGCCACTTAGGGCTTTAAAAGTCAGCACCAGCACTTTGAATTGTGCCTGGGAACTAATGTAGGTCCTTCAGGAACGGTGTTATCTGGTCTCAGCGGCCACTCCCAGTCACCAGTCTAGCTGGTGTAAAGTATTGGAAGAATTATTACATTATGGAAGAATGTAAAGTACTTCCATAAAATGCTTTTCCAAGTTACACTATCATATTTGGGGATAATTTTTAAAATTAGATTCTGTGCAAAGATTGTGTATGCCACTTTCTTACCAAACATATAAATAAAAACAGTAAATTGAAGAAATTGCAGCATTTACTGAGGCCATACCTTTCAGCTTATAAGGCCAAAGGCCATCTCTCTTAAATAAAACATCTTTGCCTGCTGCTGAAAGGTCAGCAGAGAATGAGCATTTGATTTTATCAACATTTTTTAATAAATATGTTGTAGAGTCATAGAACTGCACAGTTGGAAAGGACCTTGTCCAACCCCCAGCTATGTAGGAATCTCAACTAAAGGATCCATGGCACATGGCCATCCAACCTCTGCTTAAAAACCTCCAAGGAAACAGAGTTCACTGCCTTCTGAGGGAGAGGCTTCCACAGTCTAACAGCTCTTCCTCTCAGAAAGTTCTTCCTGGCCCCTGAGGGGTGGGGAAAACAACAATAGGATCCAGTGACCACATCCAGTCGCCCACCCCTGACTTAAGTCTTAAATTAAGTCAACCATTAGAGTATCAAACAATATTACCCTTTGATAGTTATTTTATCATGAATGAAGACATCTTCATAGCTGCTCCTGCTTAAAGGATCCACGAAAAAAGTTGTGAAGTTAAAGAATGGATGAGTAATTTTATTTAAAATTCCAATATGAAATACCTTTTAAGTATTTATTAAGAATGTACTGCAACCCGTAAAAAACAGTTTCCTCATATTTCACCTTCCTGAATTTAGAGTTTTCTGTCTTCTTTTCACGACATTCGAAGTAGGAATAAACTTTGCTTGTATTGGGTGGATATTGTTTATAATGCGTCACCTAAAATGAGAAAAACTTGGGTAAGAAAACATTTCACCACATACAAAATGGTTATCCAAACAAGCTTTGACAGTGCCATACACATTGTAGTGAGGATCACTTTCACCCTTCCACCTCCAGCTCAGCCTGGCAAGCTTGAAGTAGTTCAACTTTTCCAGGATTTGGAAAACAAGGAGCAGTTTAGCACTCTGCTTCTCTTGTAGCATATCGAACAGACGATTTCCAACCAGACATCCCTTTGTCTGTCCAGTTTTCAGCTGACCAAGCAAAAATGTCCATTACTATATTACCTATGGGGTTCCTTTTCTACCTTGCTTATCTAACAACTTTTCCATAACTGAGAAGTGAAACTGACCAGAATTCTGAACAAATGTGAAAAGCGACATGTTTGGTTAATTTTTGCTTAGGGGCTCCAGTGTCAAACCTAGTATAGGAGCCTGACTTTAGAGGTGTCAGTGATCTGCAATGTCTGTGATCTGCAGTATTTTTGCTATCCATATTAGAAGTTTTCCTTCAAGCACAAACCAAATGTTTGCTTGCAACCAGTAATTCTGGTGGAACATCCGTATGATCTCAACACCCACCACCATGTGCAGTTGCGTGATTTTTACTTGCATAGCAATTATAACGTGCTTTGTCTTGTCTATAAACAAGCTCTTTTTAAACTTCACCCGTCAATCGTGTGCTTCCTGGGGAAATTGCACAGCTACACATAAGAACTCCATATAAGCAGGGGAAGAAAGATTAACCAAATTTTATTGTCCACATTAGTGACACCACAGGTAATGAATGACATGGTACAGAATATCTTCCCCCTCAATTGCAACAATGTTATAAGTGGTTATAAAATTACGGGAAGCTTAAGAAAAAACAAGAGCTTTGATTGATACTTTAATCAACACAGTTTTCAATAAATGACTCTGCTAACGTTCTATTGAAACTAAAACAAATCTATAATAAGACATGAAAATGGGATAATTTTACACATAGAACATCATTTTGATGGACCTCTTCTGAGAAAGATTTCCCAGCTTACTTTATAATATGTACTTCTGACATTTTCAAGATAAAAGCATTTTATTTTTCCCTTACCTGCAAACTAAAGCTGTAGATTAAAAGATTTTTAAAAGTCAAATTTCCTTTCCACCATTTATGCTTTTTTTATTTTTTTGCATTTCTCTCAGGTTGGGAAATGAATTAGACTGGTCAGTTTCACTCTCTGTTTCTGACACACCAGCACAATGCTGTAATATTTGGGTTTCCAACACTGCAAGGGAATGTTTGATAATGGTAAAAAAAAAATTAATATAGTGAAAATATTTTCAGTCAGATTTTTTAATTCTAAAAATCCTAAATTTGAATTACTGGCGTATTACAATGTGTAAACAACTTCATAATTTTAGAGTTAATTTAAGCAAACCACTCTAAAGAGTTTGATTTAGCCCTACAAGCAGGACACCAATTTATTAAACAAACAAAATGGGGAATTATTTTGTTCCGTCATCTCCAAAGGTAGCATTTGCTACAACAATTGGTTGAATTGCAGTCCACAGCTAACACCAGCAACCTTTCTCTGAAATAACAGATCAGAAGGTTTGTTGGAATGCTATTAAAAGTTTTAAGAATTCCACAAGGTTTGGAATTTTTTGTTTAGTGCCATATTTGAAGATTAAATGTCACATCCAGGTCTTACTCTAAGGAATATGCCTAAACTGAAAACACTTGACAAGAAAGCTCTTTCACTACATTCTATGGTTCACATATCACATTAAATCATGGCGCTGCTTACATGTTCCTCACACATCCCATAGACCATGGTGCTACTCAAAAGTAACCACTCCTGCTGCCTTCACACCTTGAACAAAGCATCTTGTTGAATCATCTGAACCCAGGCTCAGCGTATGTTTCTGTCAAATAAACCACAGAGTAGTGAGCCAGGACCAAACTGGTTTGACACTCATGTACGTTTGCAGAGAAACAAACTATGAGCTTGGGTACGGACCACCAAAGCCAGACTCTGCTTTGTTTCATAAGCAGCACAGAGGCGGCAGGAGCTGAGGACTAACATGGGAGCTTTGGAGCACCTTCCTTTGAATGTATGGTTTAGTGTGATGCTCGAACCAAGCCTATCTTTGCTTGAAAAACTGAATGTCCACACACTACAGCATAGATGTTTTCTGGATAGCAAACAGTATCTTTTTGGATTTAGTTTTCTGATCCGGGAGCTACTATGTTCACTTTTAAAGCTTTCATCCTAAACTTACTTGAACTATGTAAAGTGATATGGAACCTTTCAGGACTAAAAACATATGAATATTTTTAAAAGCTTTCCAAAACTCTGCAAAAACTCTGATTAAACACTTTTTCAGGCAGTACTATGTACGCCTGCACATTGTTCTCTGAACTAGACAGCATTCCAGTTGCAGAATCCAGAAGAGTGTTTTTAGTGCAAAAACAGACAGGAACTCAGCAAATTAGCTCCATATCAAGGGAGTTTCCTTGAATGTGAATAGAAGTATTTTTCAGTCTGGAATGTGATGCCAAATAATGAGCACTATGCAGCTTATATTAAAAGCTTCATGGCACTGATCATTATGCAATACTACGAATGGTTAAAACAGGTTATAATCAAGAACGAGGTGGGTAGTAAAATACATATATTTCATATATATCTATATTTCAAGGATCAGGGGCGATGAAATGTCTTTTCAGTGTACAACACAAACTATACAATTAAGGTGACAGTCACAGACAATTCCACTGCTTAGGGCCTGCCACAGAAGGTAATGAGGCTATCTCAACTGTTTCCATTCTAGCTGGTTGTTTTAAGAACTGTAACTTTCAGAACTTTTTCGTGAGCTTACTTTTTCTCTCTTCCCTCCCCAACCGCTTTCCCTTGTATGTCACATCTTTCAGACTGTCATTTTGAAGGCAGATACTATTTTCCTGGGGCGCGGGTGCCGCTGTGGGTAAAACCTCAGTGCCTAGGACTTGCCGATCGTATGGTCGGCGGTTCAAATCCCCGTGGTGGGGTAAGCTCCCGTTGTTTGGTCCCAGCTCCTGCCCACCTAGCAGTTCGAAAGCACCCCTAAGTGCAAGTAGATAAATAAGTACCGCTTTATAGCGGGAAGGTAAACGGCGTTTCCGTGCGCTGCGCTGGCTCGCCAGAGCAGCTTCGTCACGCTGGCCACATGACCCGGAAGTGTCCTCGGACAGCGCTGGCTCCCGGCCTCTTAAGCGAGATGAGCACACAACCCCAGAGTCGGTCACGACTGGCCCGTACAGGCAGGGGTACCTTTACCTTTTTACTATTTTCCTACTGATCTTCGTAAGCCACTCTGGAACCCTTTATAGCAAAAGATTGGGGCAAACATGTTTCAAATAAATAATAAATGTGCTGCTGTATGCCAGCGAGTTGGTTTAACCCAAACTACAAAATTTTATAAATCTTGGGAAATTAAGGTCATCTGTAATCAGGTAATGTGTTTAGTTTAGTGTCTTATATTTCCTGTGAATCACAATCACTTATTTGCATCAACAAAGTCTCCATATTAAAAGGAAAAGCATTCTAATCAGATGAGCAAGATGTCTCACAAATGCTCTTCCAAGGGAACACAGCGCCAAACTTCGTGTTCTTATCCACCCAACACATATGTGGCTTCCCTTCCAAAGTATTTGAAAGGTCCAGCTAGTGGAGAACATGGCAGCTTCTCTGTTCAACTGGGAAAAGGCACCGTGAATGTTAACGCCTGCTTTGTGTTAACCACAATGGCAACCCGTTAGTTTTCTGGCGCAATGCAAGTGTTTTAACCCACAGCTAAAGACTTTGCACAGTCTTCCCACCCATTAAAATGGAAGTCCTGTTCTGAGTGCTAGTGACTTGGAGCAGGGCCTTCACAGTGGCAGGTCTGGTTTTGCGGCAATCTCTTGTTAAAGGAGTTCAACCAACATCCTTGCTTGACTTTCAGTGATGAACTTAACATGTTTGCTTAAGTTTTCTGTAGGAATTTAAAAGACTGCCAGTGTGGTATAGTGGTTAAAATGTAGGACTAGAAGCTGGAAGACCAGGATTCAAATTCCCACTTGGCCATGAAGTGTGCTGGGTGACACTGGGCCAGTCTTATCACTCTCAGCCTAGCCTATCTGATCTCAACTACCTCACCAGGTTAAAGGAAGAGGGAGAGAACCATGTACACCATCATCTTGAGCTCTTGGAGGAAAAGGTGGAATGTAAATGTAACAAATAATAAACTTGGATAAGCTTACTTTTAAATTTTAGGCAACTCCAAGAACATCTATAAAGTGTTTTTTATAGATCTTCTTCAGATCCCTCTAAAACATTTATCACCTCATATTAGCTGCATGTTGCCTTCCCAGTGTAAAAATTTAGACTGTAAGGTCCATAGGGCAACCATTTGTTTGGGGTTTTTTTGTTTATGGCACACCGACATTAATTTTTAATTGTTCCTATATACTGGTACATGTACCCAGGTTAAAATGCCAGTTGCCTCTATTTTGCCTTTCAGGCAGCTGTTTGGAGCACGTTTTTTAAAATGATCAGTACACATGCACTCTACAAGTTTCTTAGCCTCCATCCAAATGTCTGTACAAATGAAATGTCTTTGGTGATAAATCTTCACTAGTGCATATACACAGAAATTCTCTAATTTGAATGTCTATGCCATTTTCACATTTCTTCATTCATAAGCCCACACCATTTCCACATTCTACATTTTAGACAAATGTGCGTGAAAATTCATGTTAAACAGCTATTTAAATACACATGTTCAAATGTGTTATCTTCAAATAGATTTCTAAACCAATTTTCTATTAAAAAGAGCATTTTTTGTGCTGAAAACTTTGTCAGAAACATTCAGAAAGTGCAAACCCTGGTGGATAACTAAGTTCCAGTCAGCTGTGGGGGTGCAGATCAGCTCACCTCAGATCAGAATTCAAAATTCCCTAAGCATCTGCACACACACACACAACGTGATGGTACTGCTTCCCTTCCATCCTTGATTCATAACTATCTCCCTCTCTAGATAGTAGAGGCTGACGAATCTGTCTGAACTGCAATTAGGTCTGCTATAAATAAAATCAGCGGGACGCAGGTGGCGCTGTTGGTTAAACCACAGAGCCTAGGACTTGCCGATCAGAAGGTCAGCGGTTTGAATCCCCGCGACGGGGAGCTGCTCAGTCCCTGCTCCTGCCCACCTAGCAGTTCGAAAGCGCGTCAAAGTGCAAGTAGATAAATAGGTACCGCTCTGGCAGGAAGGTAAACGGCATTTCCGTGTGCTGCTCTGGTTCGCCAGAGGCGGCTAAGTCATGCTGGCCACATGACCCGGAAGCTGTACGCCGGCTCCCTCGGTCAATAAAGCGAGATGAGCGCCACAACCCCAGCAACCAAGAATTCCATGCAGGCAAGTGATCAGGCTGGTGGAGGTTGGAGGGATCTGTCCATCACTCCTTCAGCAATTCACTTGGGAGTGGGCTTTTTTTACTGGCAGTCTGTGTTTCTATGCTGGTTACTGGTGAAAGGCTCTCCTTCCTTCAGGGTCAGCATGGAAAGAAGGCTACTAGACTCTTAGCAGTAACCAGTGTAGGGCTTTGTACAATGCTATTGAAGATTGCTAAGGCAGGGATTACAGGGGTACTGTAAGTAAACAAGACTAGTCCATTCAAATCTAGTCTTCACTCTGAATTCACTAGATGCCCACAGGCATCTAGCTGCCTCTCTCTTTTGAGTCCAGCTGCAATCTGGGGGCCTAGCAATACTGACTTACCTTATAGGGTTGCTGGTAAGGATTACAGCTAAATACAGATGAAGTGCTTTGAACACTTGAAAGCACGATTTAAACAACCTTTGCTATTTGATACTATAGTAGCATAAGGCTCTCTCTGAATTGCTTTCATTTACTGTTAAATGACAAAGTCTCTTGGGCAAAGATTAGGAGACTCCTTATACATAACAGAAGGATCTCTTTCACTGCTATTCCCGTAAAAGCTAGTCATTGTTTCTAGCAGGGCACAATCTAGCAATTAAGGCTGCAATCCTATACTCACTGACCTATGAGGTTGCACTTAACTCAATGTGGTTTAGTTCTGAGTAGACATGTAAAGGATTACATTGCAAATTACACTGATATCTGCCTGTAGCAGGTAAATCACTACAGCAAATCTGAATCAAATGCATCATTTGAAATTATAATTTTAAGCCAATTATTTCCATTTATCATTTATTTTAATTCCATAAATTGGTCATAGTTTCCCACTAGAAGAACTTTCCCCTGAAATCAATGTGGCTATTTTAATGCTTTTATCATCAGTAACAACTGTACGACTGGTTTAATGGTTTCAGTTTCACAATGCTTGATCTACCACCATATACAGCTCCAAGTTTTTAAAGACTGACAAATGTGTAACAGAATTAAACTTTGGGTAGTACTATCACTACTGTAATTATAATCCAACCATTTATGCACCAAAGGCAGGTCTTGCTAAGAAACAAATATATGTATGCTGAAGGATAGCTAAACCAGTAATGAGTCCAAACGAAAACCCTGTGATTTAAAACCTTGCCGGAAGAGCTTAACTTCCTTATCTTTTCTCATTAACCTCCTCTTTTTTGTTTTTCTACAACACTGTACTGTTTTTGTAACAGTTAGGAAATACCGAAAGTATAGGAAATACCAATAGTATAAGTGACGCTTTCAGAGCTGTTAAGTTCTGTACAGATAGTAGCTAGAATCTACTATCTTGATAAAAAGCAAACAGCATGCTTACTTTGACCAGGTTCTTTCCCAAACAGAAACCTGGTACTTCTACTATCAGATAAGTGTTAAGTCAGTTTGCCTGCAAAGATTACCTTTCCTCAGAAACACTCCCTTTCCTGCCACCAGAGAACTAAAATTAGCGCTTCCCACAAGTCTAGTAAGTGAAGGAGGCAGGTGTTTCACTATCATTGCATTCCCCCTGCAAGAATTTGGAAGTGAGATGAAAGAGCCAAGTGCAGTAGGAGTTACAGTGGGGCGGCATCTCCTCCATGCCACAGGTGTCACTTTCTATCTTGCCCCATTTTCTCTCTCTGCACTTGCCTATTACGTACTAGAAGCTTCTCAGCACAAAGCATAAAGGGAGGGGGCAGAAGGAGTAAAGCCACTGTCTCCTGCCCACCCTCCACCTATATCAGCATGTGTGGATAATAAACCCGTAAGGATATGTGAGGGAGGGAGAGATGTTGCACTCCAAAAGAAGCAAGGAGCTTCACTGTCGCTCCCTCCCTTCTCCCTTAAAATTATATACCACTTGACACATTCAATGGGGTGGATAGGAGGCAACAGCACCCCCCGCCGGACTCCAATGTCCAGACCAAGCCATCAGAGCTGACAATTGTGCCCTCAAGAAACAAAACAGCCCCTTGCAGGCGAGCTACCAAGTGTACAAAGGACCGCGAGCTTCAGCCTGCGCTTTGCTTTGCATTGCATAAACCAAGGCGAGCCCGGTGAAAGAGCGCGCGCAGGAGAGGAGGGCAAAGGCCAAGCGGGGCGGCTTTCCCACCCCCTCACAGCCTCCTGCATGGGGGCATGGCCTGCGAGCCGCCCCACACGTAGCTCCGGGCCCCCCCTCGCCATGCAGGCAGCCCCAGCCCCGTCCTGGCCCGGTGCCTGGCCTGGCGAGGGCGGGGTGCGAGGCAGGAACACGAAACAGAAAGGAGCCTGGAAGGAGGGGGGGGGAGAAGCCCAAGGCAGCGGGGAGAGCCCAGCCAGCCTCCCTCCCGAAGGGGCCACAGGGGAGCCCCTCGCCCGCCCGCCCGCCCGCCTGCCCGGCCTCCCCCTCCCGCCCCAGACCCTCCTCTCTCCCCCAACCTTGTAGGAGTCGGTGGCCAGGAGAATGTTGAACTCGGCTCCCCCCGCCGCACTTTCCATGTTGCTCGGGGGCTGAGGACGGAGAAGCACGACGACCCCGCGAGCCGCTGAATGGGGAAGGAGGACGCAGAGCAGGGGCTTCGCCGCGAGGCAGGCAGGCTGACTGCCACTGGCTGAGTGACTCTCTCTCGCTGCCCGCTGCCAAGCGCCTCAGGGGGCAGCCGGGCGGCGGGGCGGGGCCACGACGTCACGGAGGGCCGAGGGACCGCCCCGCCGCCGCCATCCCCGCCCCGGATTGGACGCCGTCCCCAGAGTGGCGGGAGGGACGGTACAGATAAAGAGCTGTGAGGTCACCGCGAGGAGGAGGCGGGGCTTTTCGGCGTCTCCGTCAATTGGTTCCGCAACCTCGGCAGCGGAGGGCGCCGTGGGGTTGGTGGAGTGCCGGAGACGTCGCACGACGGGCAGCGCGCGCGCGTTCTCCCCTCGTCCTCCACTGGATTCAGGAATTGACGTCACAGGGGCTCGCGCTCCGCTTTGCGTCCCTCCGATTGGGCGGCGCGGTGGGCTTAGCGGGCGAAGGACTGGAGGGAAGGAGGGCGGGCGTGAGGCGGCGCTCGACGCAGAATGGCGAAGGTTGCGGGAGACGAGAGAGGAAAGGAGCTACGCGCATGCGCGGCAAGCGGCCGCCTGGGCTACGCTTTCGATTCTCCTCAGCTCGCGGGCGGAATTTGCTGAGGCGTCTGAGGGGAATGGAAAGCGAACCTGGAGCGCGAAGGGACATTCCTCCCCTCCGCACCCTCGTGGGCTCTGAGTTTCCTGGAAGCGGCTGGGATTCCCTTAAACCCCCTCAGGGGACGCCACAAGATTGCTTGTAGGGTGTGATTCGGCCCTGAACCAAATATATTTTTAAACCTCTCGGCTTTCAATGGTGCTTTGTGATCGTGCTTGGGGGTTGCGTTTAAAAATAAAAAAAACACCGAACGGTCCAGGTGCAAGTTCTGCTATGTCCAAAGGCACTTGTCTACTCGAGAGTAGACCTCACTAAATTCAGTAGGGTTTACTGCCAGTGAAGTGAGCAGAAAATGGCAGCCTCGGCGCGACACTATAAAGTCCTAACGTTTCCAACTATAACCTCCATAAAATGTGCTCTGGGGAAACGTAATTCTAAAATACAGACGCACACACTTTTTTTACTAAAGAAATGTTTAGGGATAATCCCCTTTTCCTATCATACTGAAATACTGCCCCTCAGTGAGGCCAAACTTAAATTCACAAAATGTTTAGGAGTATGCGTACTCCCAGAGAAAAGCACTGTGTGTGTGTGTACAGTGGTACCTCAGGTTACATACACTTCAAGTTACAGACTCCGCTAACCCAGAAATAGTACCTCAGGTTAAGAACTTTACCTCAGGATGAGAACAGAAATCGCGCGGCAGCGGGAGACCCCATTAGCTAAAGTGGTGCTTCAGGTTAAGAACAGTTTCAGGTTAAGAACGGACCTCCGGAACGAATTAAGTTCTTAACCCGAGGTACCACTATTCGAAATCTGTTGTGATGGCTAGGTATCCAAAACAGGGCTAATGCAAAATAGGAGGACATGTTTGGGGGAGGAACTCCAGATTTGCAGAACAACTTTGCAGAAAAACCTTTGTGCCATTGCAGAACTGGGGCTCTGGTAGTTGGAATGGAGTATCCTGAAAACGGCATGGCTGGGCACAGAAATCAGGGCCTTTTCAGTCATGGCAAAGGGTACTTGGGGAAGGCCCTTGCCAGGGAAGCCCATCCAGCCCATCATAAATTTTGCTAGTTGTGTGAAATATAATTGTTTCTGAAATATACTCAGAGTTGCAAAGTGATTTCATGCTCTTTATTCAGCTCATAGTGGTGAGGAGGAATGAATGAAAGTCCCCTCAAAGTATCTGCTTTATATACATTATTTACACAATGGGCTGCACATGATTGGCTATTTCCGGAATTCTACTGTAAGCCAATCAGGTTGTGGATTCACTTCTATCTGGAGCATGATTGGGTGGTTCCTGCCAACCAATCATACTGCTGCATTGTTCTAGGACCAATCAGACTGCTGCAGTTTGGATCCTATTCAACTCAGTACATAACAGTTTCCAAATTACATTCCTCTCCCCACCTTTGCTTCCTGACCCCATACTAGTTTTCCTACCTGTTCTCAGACATTATTTTAAAATAGTTGGCTTGCTCTGTTTAAACTCTCCAATTGATTCTGTTCTACATCTGAAGTAAGCTAATTCCCTTTTTGATATAATAAATTTACTTGGGATTGATCTTCCTGTCGACACTTGGGGTGCCATCTTTCAGAGCACATCCAGCCATCGCTGTGGAAAAATCCCTAGAACTGAGTGTTAGGATTGCATGTGAGAACTGCAGGCTTCCATGCAAACTGCACACTTCGTAACAGGAAGTAGCCACTGCTGAGCATAGCACAAAACACACTAAAATGAGTCAGTTCCTATTTGTAGTGGTTTCAGCAAAATCAACAAGTAAATCTCGTGGCACGTTAGAGTCTACCAAATTAATTATGGCCCACATATACTGTGGACTACAGTGCACATTTGTGAAATTTGTGGCCCTCCAGATGCTGTTGGATTCCACATCCCATCAGCCCCAGCCAGAAGGATCAAAAGTTATGGATGATAGGAGTTATAGTCGAGTCATCTGGAAGACACCATGTTGACAACCACTGTTCAACCCTTTACTTGAAAGAAATAATCCTATTAACCACACACTGTTGCTGTTTTCTGTTGTTAACAACGTAGCATAACCATTTTTGGACATTCTTTCTGCCAAGAGGGGCTGAAAGGGGAGATGCTTTGCATTTATGTGGCACAAAGGCAACATTTTCAGCAGTGAGAACAACCTTTTTCATTTGGTTGTTTGATGTGGCTATCGAGAAATCAAAGCCCAAAAGATCAAAAGATTACGGTATTAAAGGAAGATTATTGTGCTTCAGTTTAATGGAAAATACTCCGCACAAGCTTTAAAAAACACACAAAAACACATTGCATCCCAACTTTATGAACAGTAGTTTGCTCTTTAATCCACTTATAACCTCTTGGGACATTATCAGGAGTCCTTTAGGTGTGCAGAAGGGGTTCCTCGCATACTCTGCCATCTAGCTTAAGCTTACCCTCCATGCAGCCTATAAACACTACCTGGTGTCGCTATGCAAATTTCTTCTTCCAAAAATCCTCAGGGGATTGTCAAAAAGTAAGCAGAGCAGCTATTACCAAAGAAGAAACAGTTTGCAATCCTAACTCTTGACTACAGTGGGATTTAATTTGGAGCAGGTGTGGGGAACGTTTTGCCCACCAGATGTTGATAAACTACAAGTACTATCATCCCTGACCATTGACCACGTTTACTGAGACTGATGGGCTTTGTAGCTCAGCCACATTTAGAGGGCGAAAGGTTTCCTAATGCTGATTTTGAATAAAATTGTTTAGGACTGGACATGCAGCTTGTTTGCAGTCTTCAGGGTGGTAGCCTAGGATTACCTTCTGCTTGTTGACTCCTTTTCTTCTTACTTCACAGACAACAGTAGTCATGGTGCTGCCTCCAGGGTGGAGCTGCTGCAAACTTCAGGTGCTAACGCACATTCCCCACATATTTCTTCTAGGGCGTATGACATTGACTCACAACAAAATTGACTGTAGGCATCTTGTTATGCATGGTGGTTGTGTTGCCAGCGCTTAAAGTAATGGCGTGTTGCTGTTAATCCATTGACTCCGCAATGTTGCCAGTCACAATGGGAAGCACATGGTTCTCCTCAAACAGCCTTTGGTGAGTCATCCCTGTAGTCTCTTCTACACCAAAGGCTTGTTGGACTTGCAGGGGTGAGAAAAGTTCAGCGAGAAAGAGAAAGGTATTCCTTCGTTTTATCACCTCCCTGAAGTGTTCTGAGCTTGGTCAAGATAAGTCTCCCTCAGGTAAACATTCAGTCTCAAAGAAATGTCTCTTTATGGTCTTCCCTTCACAAATACAAGCCTTGTTGAACAAGATGAAAATGGCAGGAATTGCCTTGAGGGAGCATTTTACCAGCTTCTTTACAAGAATATCATGGGGCACCTTGTCAAATGCCTTGCTGAAATCAAGGTAGGCTACATCCACTGCGTTCCCTTCATCTACCAGGCTTGTAATTCTGTCAAAAAACGAGATCAGGTTTTTTATAAGGTTCTTTATAAGCAACACCGTATTATGAGGTGGAGTTTAGAAGAGTTTAAAACCAATGCAAGAGTTGTTCTTAAAACATGTCTGGGATTTCTGAGGGAAAACCTCGTGTGCGTTCAGAGAGAAAAATGGGCGCTGGTTAGAGCTGCTTGCTTTTAGAAAAAGAAAGGGAATGTAAGAGGAATTAGGGAGGTTGGGGTAGTGGACTTTGGCAAAGTTCTGAGGTAAAAATGTGAGGAAAGCAGGTGGGGGAGTTTGGGGCAATGGCTAATCGTAAAGATAAAGCTCTGTTTTTGCAGAGGATTACTGTGGATTGTGAGGAACTGGGTATCTTAGATTAGGAGTTGAGACATCTAAGGGGGAAGAGATGATAACAGGAAGGAGGAGGAGCAGGAAGTGGGGATGAAATATACTCAGAGTTGCAAAGTGATTTCATGCTCTTTATTCAGCTCATAGTGGTGAGGAGGAATGAATGAAACTCCCCTCAAAGTATCTGCTTTATATACATTATTTACACAATGGGCTGCACATGATTGGCTAATTCTGGAATTCTACTGTAAGCCAATCAGGTTGTGGATTCACTTATATCTGGAGCATGATTGGGTGGTTCCTGCCAACCAATCATACTGCTGCATTGTTCTAGGACCAATCAGACTGCTGCATTCTGAATCCTATTGTGCTAGGACCAATCAGACTGCTGCAGTTTGGATCCTATTCAACTCAGTACATAACAGGGGATGAAGGAAGATTCCAGACTTGTCCTTCTTCTGTGTGGTTGGGGTTCAGTGGGTACATCTTTAGCAACAAAAGGGATGGAAAATGGAGTGGGGTGGGAGTCCACAGGAAGGTTTCTGGGCAGAGAGGAGAGGTTTCTTGGTAAGCCAAAGATTCCTAGTTGGCAGGGTGAAAAGCATCATCTTTTAGGCTTAAATTGGGCTTAAAACATAAAAAAAGACTGAAAATCACATCTTATTGACAGTGAGTGGGCTTAAAATTAAAAAAAGGTGCCAGCCAGGAAGAGCCTATCTAAAATGTTTGCGAAATAGCTTCTAGAAATGTGTGTTATTCTGCTGTCCAGGTGAGATGGGGAAAAGAGATTAACATATCTTTTGAGCTCCCCAGAAAGGAGCCTCAGGCCACTGAAAACAGCATGATTGGTGATTGTGAAGAGGGGTGAACAGGAAGGCCCTCACCCCTAGGTGATCCCATCTTTGTTGAGCACTCCTTAGAAAGATTCTGGTGCGCTTTTGTTTCTTTCACATTTACAAATGCTACAGGAGGGAGGGTAGACATTTAGAGTAACAGAAACCATCTACCAGGTGCTGATGCTTGCGTGGCGAGTTCCCGCCCCCCACCAAGGATAAATAAAGACACAAGACACCAGAATTTAAGGTTAAATGGGCGAATTAGGCCACAACTTTATTGAATTCAGGAATGAGAGGCATTGGCTTAGGCATTGGTCCTATCGACTATCCGGCTCCAGCCCATTTGCTGGAGACACGGGAAGGGTTAACACCATAGTGGGGGAGTCTCCTGCTGAGTCAACTAGGAGCTCCCCCGGGGTCACCGCTCGGGGGCGTGCTTAGGCCCACACCTCCATAGGCTTCGGACAGGGCCACGCCCCCCCCCAGTCCTTTACTGGACCACCCTTCGTTCTCTGGGGGGAGGTGATGGCGTTGCTCCCCCCACACACACATCCTCTTAACCCCTTCTTACCAATGCCTAACCGCCAATGCCGAAGAGTTGTGACAAGTTGCTACAAGGTAGGCGAAAAACCAAATGGCTGCAAATTGCCAATTGGGAAAAATTCCTACCATGCCCCTTGCGGCGACAGACCGAAGTCCATAGCAAAGTCAGAAACCTACCTAAAGGGAGGGAGGGTGGGAAAACATGGGGGCAAGCCGGCAAAAGAGGGCGAGCCCCGGCTGCGCCGGCCCTAAATAAATGTTGCTTGGAACATGGCTTCCTGTAGTGAAGTCTCTCTTGAGGTCTCCATGTCAAAATCAAATCACGCATCTCTGGTGCTGGCAACGCTTGCAAAAGCTGGATATTTTTAGGGGTGCTTCATAACACTGTACCTTGATTCTAACTTGCTCTGGTTAGTAAGGAATTCTTGTAAACAGAAAAGTAGCTCCGGCAAGCTGGAAGTCTGCTCATAGAGCAGTTAGTGTCTACTTAGCTTCACTCCTGCCCTGATAATGCCGCCCCCCCACAAGGATACCACTTCATTGCCTTTTATCACTTATTCCACACTCTGTTGGGACACATATAAGCCTAGTTCTGACTAAGGTGGTAAACAGGTACCTGAAAGAGTGTACCACTTCTGACTACTGAACTCTTATTACCCAAGCACTGTATTTTCAGTAATGGGATATCAATGACCCATGCAATTTGCACTAGTATAACACAATACAGAACACAAAGCTGGTGTAGCATATTGGGGGGGAAACTGTGGTGCGAACAAGGAGGTATTCATAGCTCTTCTCTGCCATAAACTCAGTAGCTGACTTTTGGCAACCCAGCCTCTGACTTCCCATTTGCAGTACAGGGTTTAAAAATACTAACTTTCCTTAAGTTAATGTGGGGAACCTGTGGCCCTCCAGAGACTAGTAGTTGGCTTTTGTCATTTTCTAACCATTGTTATTGACTGCCCCCTCCTCCCACATCTTTCAAATATACCTGCTCAGCAAAAAGGTTAATATTTTGAAATGTACTGTCCTCTGCCCTGCAATTCAGCCTGCAGAACAGTAATCCTTTGCAAAGCAGCTGAAATATTAAGCCTTCAACTAATGTTTCACCTGAACACGTGTGCGTGTGTTTTTAATTTCTTATTCCTCCATCTGCCCTTCCATATATCACTAACTGCTCTCAATTGTGGTATGTTATGCCTGCAATAAATTCAAGTGTGAAAGTGCTTTAATTATACTTAGAAAGCTAAAGCTCTTAACACCCATTATGTAGGCAAGACACAAAAACTGTCAGTTGTGGCTGCATGAGTAGCTACTATACACAGCTCCAGCATAATTCCATAGCTGGGATTTGCCTTGTATAATGCACATCAAACCTACCATACTAAGTTGAAGAGTGTTCCAAGAGCAAAGTGGCTGAATGAGTGTCATTAAATATAGCCATGCTGCTAAGTTAAATGGAACAAAAAACAAAACAAAAAGATAGTTCCTTTTTGAGAAAGGCTGCTGAGCTAATACATGGCTAAAAGCTCTCATGACTACTTTTCCCAAAGCCATAATTCAGATGGGCAAAGCTAGCTGTGAAGTTTCACAGCCACCTCACCTAAGCCCGATGACTCCTTCTGATGTTTGGAGCCAAAACCCCCGATATTTTATTGTTATCATCAAGGTGGAATTCACATCTCCTCTGGCCACTATCCATCTCAGCTCATCACAAGAAAGCCTGGTGGGGAAAAATGCAAAGAAACACACTCCTTTCTTTTATGTCAAACTCTTTACTGATCTGAAACTGGACAGAAATCTACTGTGGCTTTTTGAAAATAACAGCAACTTCAAAAGAAAAGAAAAGAAAGAAAGAAAGAAAATCTTGAAAATGCAACAAAGCTACTCAGAAGGGAGCTGGGGAGATTAAAACGTAACCATGCAACAAGCAGTCCTCTGTTTGAGAACTAAGCACTCCCAAGAGGGCTTAAATCCACAGAGTCTGCAAATGGAGACAGTTCTCCTTAAAATGCCATTTCCCCACTGGCCCTATTCATCTCAGCATAACACAAGACTGCAATATAAAATTTGGTAGAATTTCTGCCGTTTCCCCCTTCCCAGTGTGGACGTAGAAGCATGCGAGCCATCATGTTGCATAAGGCGCTTGTCAAGATAGAAGCAGAAACTGTGTTTGGTCTCAGTGTGAATGGCACCACTCAAAGCAAAAGCATCAGTTTCATGCACAGTTCTTGGGCTGGCTACCAGCCCTTTCCACATCAAGTGACAGTGCAGTTAAGACGTCCCTGGGTACATTTTATAGCAGGGGGATGATCCCGTGGCTCTCCATATGTTTGCTGGGCTACAGCTCCCATTGTTCCTTGTTATACAAAAAATATGGGGTTGGCTTTTACAGGCATACTCCCTGTTATAGGAATTCTAAGGTCTTATATATAAAAAATAAATGTTCATCAATGTACAAGGCAAACACATACATAAGTAAGTAAGGCTGACGTTTATTTGTCTGTTGGAACAGAGTTCACACACATACCCCTTGCAAGGAGATGAGGAGGACCCAGAACAAAGGTGTGTAACAGCTTTTAAAGACTTTAGATGTTGCCCAACCCTTAGCCAAAGACCATCCAAAAGTATCACAGAAAGAGATGGTCTACAACAGAAATTCGACAGTGTAGCTTGTCTGCTGTCTGTCAAGATATCTGATAAGGTTTGCTGATTGCCCCACCTTGGCCAGGCTGGGAAATGCCTTAGTTCTTGAATCCAGTTCACAGGCCTACCCTGTTCATACACAAAACATCCCCGTTTGACAGGATTTGAAGGATTTGTAATTCAAAAGAACCATTGGGAGAGGTTTTTCCAATATATTTCCTTTGGGGTCATTAAGAGCAAGATGACTTCGGGATTGCTTTCATGTACATGTGGTTTATATTCTTATGTGTGGGTGTTTACCTTGTGCACTTATGAATATTCAACTTATTTATGACAACTTAGAATTCTTACAACAATCGTCCCGCCCCCCCAAAAAAACTGGTATCCAACTTCTCAGATGGTTTTCTATAAACATGAAGAGAGACTTGCATGCCAGGCCTTTTAAGGCTATTAAGAAGCCTTCTCTCCCCTTTCCTTTAGAAAATGAGGGTCTGTGCTTTGCACTCCCTGTAGGTGATGGCCCTCCCTGTAGAGAAATGCCTGCACCTCTTCAGCTAACCGCTAAGGGACTTTACCTGGCTCAGCAACTGGCGGATTGCTTGAGCTCAGGAGTTCAGGGCTGCTGCTGTGGGCTACGCCAATCGGCTGTTCGCACAAAGTTTGGCATCATTCATGATCGTAAGAACATAAGAAGAGCCTGCTGGATCAGGCCAGCGGCCCATCTAGTCCAACATCCTGTTCTCAGAGGGCCAATCAGAACCTTATGGGCTATCCAAAGCAAGACCTGCGCGCAACACACTCTTCCCCCTTGCAACTTCCAGCAACTACCATTCAGACCATTGGCCTTCAATGGGGTTGATGGGCATCCAACAACTCCTGAAGGGTCACAGCTTCCATGGGCCTGTATTCTACAGTACGTGTGACAATCCCTGGTGATGATGGCACCATTCTATTTTCACCCTGAGCAACTTTGTGAATATATCTATTTATGGCCTAGTATGGCTCCACTTGGGAGTAACTGCAGACAGGCACTTAACATGAAGGGACATCTTAGCTCAACCTTAAAGCAAATCTATACGAAACCTTTTAAAGTCAAGATAAAAGGAAAAGCAAGGCGTAGAATATGCTATCTGTGCTTGCTCACCTGTAGTATGATTACTCACTGAAAGGAAAAAAACAACCCAGGTGTTTCCAGAGAAATGCATAAGGTGTAAGAAATGTTAGCCTCAAGAAATGTAAAATGTAAAAGCTATGCATGTCCTTTTTGAAAAATGCAAATGTGTCTAAGTAGGAATGAATATACCATATTTTTCACTCTATAAGACGCACCAGACCACAAGAC